TTTTGGTTACAGTATGAACTATTTATGAGAACTTTTGTTTTAAATTTGCAATCCTTAGCTGTAAAAACTGAACATTTTATAATTTATTAATTACAATGATTGAAAATTTTCAAGATTTTGATAAATTTTGTCAAAGTTCGATGTTTAAATGCTTATAAAAAAAAATTGTGCCTATGTATTTTTAATATTTTTCAACTGCTACTGTAACAATATATCAGGAACCTTGTATTAAATGTTTACACTTTTTGGAGCAACAAATAAAACTTTATTGATATTTATAGAAAAAAAAACTAAAAAAATTGAAAACTGAAAATGTCCGTAAACCGTTCAAAAATAGTCAAAATATTTTCAAAATTGTATGGTGAATAGGAAATGCTAATATAAACATTCAGTGAAATTGTCATGTATCTACAGTTATTCGTTTTTAAATTACAACAAAATAAGGAAATCTCTACATGAGAAATCGAGTGAATATCCAATGTTGTAAAAATCTGAGTTTCAAACGCTCATAAAAATTTAATTTGACTTTCATATAGACTTTTTTTTTGATAAAGGTATATAATCTTATAAGGAATCTTGTATTACATTTTAAAATCTTAGATTTAAAAAGAAAAATTTTTACGAATTCTTAACTTAAAATAATTTGCTAATTTTCGTGATTTTTCCATATTTTATCAATTTTTGAACTTTAAATGCTTATAAAAAAAATTGTGAATAAGGATTTTTAATATTTTTCATCTGCCTTTGAAACAATATACTAGGAGCCTTCTATTCAATTTTCAAGCTTTCGCAACCAACAAATCAAATTTTATTGATATTTTTAGAATAAAAACTAAAAAAAAATGGAAAATGAAAATGTCCCTAAACAGTTCAAAACAAATCATAATATTTTAAAAATTTTATCGTGTATAGAAAATGCAAATATAAACAATCAGTACAAATTTCATGTATATACGTTCATTTGTTTTAGAGTTACACCAAAAAACAAAATCGATTTTTTGGAAAACAGATTTTGCGTAAAAATTCCCGTTATTCCTTATTTTTATGTGTTTAATCCCGGCGCTTGTAAAAACTATTGGGAATTTTTGACCTCCCGAATGCACCAACTAGATTCACTTTCCAATCGAACAAGTTACTGAAGTTGAAAATCGAAGCATTATTATTTTCCACTACTTATCGTGTACACAGACACAAAAATAAATAAAAACACACATCATTGTAAAATCAATACATCTATCGTTCCACTCAGAATCTAAAATATGTATTGTTAAACATTATTTTCACATTGATTTAACATAAGTTCCTGCTATAATAATAATACGAGTAGGCTTTTGATTGTTGTATAAATTTTAAAACCATATTCTTGGCCCCCATTAATCCATGGGTAATGATTTTATATTATTAAATCAATAACTCGTAGGGTAGGTAATATAGGTAATCCATAGGCTATTAACAATAAATATTAAAATATAACAGTATAGGTAATTATAGTATAACCATCTCATTTTAATGTAGTTGCTTATAAAAAAATATAGGTAATAATAATACAGTCAACTGGCGATATAACGAACTTCAAGGGACTGAGAAAAATATTCGTTATATCGAAAGTTCGTTACATCGAAATTATATTATACCGCGATATTTTCAAGGGACCGGTAGTTTTATTCGTTATATCAAGATTTTCGTTATATCGATATTCGTTATATCGCGAGTTGACTGTAATTATAAAATGAGAATAAATACTAAAAAGCAATTTTTATTATGGGGGCCCCGATAAATCGAAGGCCCCAAAGTTTCACTTTGCTTACTTACCCGCTAGTTGCTCCACTGCTTGTAGGTACCTATAGAATAATACATTAATGCAAGAAAGCAATTTATTCCACGCGGCACGCCACAATGCGACATGTTTCATTTGTTCGTCAGTCGTCCCTGCAAATATTTACAAATTGATTATTTTTGATTTTATTTTAGTTCTTGTTCTTACAAGCTATTAGCTAAACAATTATTCACTTAGAAGTTCTAAGTTAGAACCTTTAAGCAGTTTAAACGTTCAAGCATTCAAAGTAATGCGTCATACGATATTACGACGACAGGACGACTTTCATTTTTCATGATGTAAAATAATTTTAAATCTAATATTTTATACTTGGACTTCACTAAACACAGTACCTATTTTCAATCATTATAGTACATTACAAAATACAATGATACTAAATGAACTATAATAATAACATAATAATATAAAATGATATGTATAACGTATTACCATTGATTATAAATACTATAGTAAAATAGTAGTGCCTATTTATAATCAATGGTATAATGTATTGGTGTAATATTATTAATATTACACCAATACTCAATATAATAACTATCATTATAAATTATTATATTTTATTAATTAATATGATATTTAATATTTTGGATTATTATTACTTTTTTTTTTAAAATTCATTTTTACAAAATTGAATACCTATATTTTAATCTGTGGTTTAGAAATAAAATTAACTTAACGTGACAATAAAAATATAAATTAACTCATAAGACATAAATCATAAATATGTGACTAAATTAATTTACCTTTTTTTTTTTCCGAGTTAATCGTGGGACGGAGGAGGAACGAGGGACGGAGGAGGAAAAATTAGTTTACCTAACTCATAAATTATTTGTAGGTAACTACTTATGTGTTGTGAGTTTTGATGGTATTGTTAGATAGGTATGGGTAATGTTTTCTATAATATTTAATAGGTACTGAAAAGTTTTTTATAAGCTCATAATACCTAATATCATGCTGATTTTGATAGTCAGCGTGAATTTTTTTTTAATGTCACCCAGTGATAATTCCTTAAAATATCTACTGCTACCTATAGCTATATAAATTAGGTACCTACCTATATAAATGGCATTATTATACATTTATACTATCGGTAAATTTACCACTTATGAATTAGGTCTCTATTGGCTATTATTTATTAATTACTTATTTATTAGTATTCAATACAATAAACCAACTTTTAAAAATCTTCTCATGCAGTAGCCTGTAAGTTTAGGTCTAAAAACCTTTAGATATAATAATATACCTATAGGCACAATTTTTTTCACATAAAAGAAAATACATTTCATCAAATTTTAAAACAATAAAATAATAATTATATGACCTAATAATATGACGTATTATTAATATTCTTAGATTTTTGTAATAATATTTTATTAATATTGTACAATTCGAAGTTCGAACACCTACACGGCTACACTGGTGACCGGTTAACAGTAACTAGTAGGTAAGTCGACACGTCGTCTTGACCGCATCCACCTTGGCCTGGTTTTCGTCGCAGCCATTCTCTCTGTTATCATTTAGGTCGGCTCAAGTGATAACATCGGCTGTTTTCGCCGCCCGAACACATCAGCCAACGGCGTCGACGTAAACAAACACCATCTCCGTTTTCCTTTCAGCTATCATAATAATATTTCTGATATTAATTCTATACTGTCCGCAGCTCGCCATTATTATTTTCACTCATTAGTCATTCGGTGGTTCGGTTCGCTCGCGCGTTGCGCAATATTTATTTGTTTTTTTTTTTTTGTACATATTACATAGTAAATTATCGTACCGTAGCGTTACCCTTTACCACCTATACACTGTACAGCACATTTAATTAACTTGTAGTAATTTAATACCGTATTAGTGGAATACCCATAGTATAATCGTACGATTTAATCAAGACCAAGCATTTTATTATAACCTTTGTCAACAAACACAAACCTTGGGAACCTAATCCAAGTTCGAAGCTGTACGTTCTACAAACGATATTTTTATATTTTTATTCACGGTAAGTACACCACTCGTATAATATGATGTATACTAAAGCGTCGATTACACTGAGCGAATTTTGCTAGTCGTTGGCGAACAAAGTCGCGCCTGTGTGAGCGTGTTGTAGCGACCTGTCCAATTACATTGAGCGATAAAATTCGCTCGCTCGCTACCAGTCACTACTTGCTGGCACACTAGCGATTTTATCAGCTAGGGCGAGTATTCAACACGCTGCGAGTAAGCGACTAGACCGATTACATTGAGCGACTTTAGTCGCAGCGAGTTAATTTGCCAGCGATTAGCGAGTGAATTCGCTCAGTTTAATCGACGCGACAGTACGGTCCATGGGTATTGTGGCACTCAAATTAGTCGTCGCGGTCTCACTCATAAACAATTCTATATGAAAACACTGACCGACACGAGAAGAAGAAAACAACTCAATAGCTAGGTTTACAAGAAATAGACAAGAGATTAAATATTTACTATTACTTATTTAGGTACTTTTAATTTTGAAAACATGCCCATTTGCCTTGCTATTACCAATCAGTAAACCTGTGCATTGCCATAATAGTTACAATATAGTAATTAGTAGTGGTGGGTACATACCGTAATCTTATCTAGGACTATTTTGCAGACCTAGCCAGAAATATTTTTGGGAATAACTATATGAAATCAGTTCAATCAAAAAAATATTTAAAATTTAGTTTTTAGTTAATTTAAATTTGCAGGACTGGCTGTTGCCCAGAGTGGGCCAGACCTGTATACGCTACTTACCTATGACAGTATGATTATTAGTACAGTCAATGGTGTATTGGTACGTATACTCGGGTGTACAACGTATACCCATCAGCAGATTTTTGATTCTCATTGTATACCCAATGTAAAATATCATTTTACGGGTATACGCTCCTAAGATAACTCTGAAACTATTTGTTGAAGGTATATTACTGCTAATTTACTTACATTTTGAAAACGGATTGGTTATTATTTTGTAGTGAGCGAAAACTTTTCTTTGTGAGTATACCCATAAGTATATTTACCAATACACCACTGAGTACAGTGTCTACATCATAAAGTATGTTTTGGTCAACAATCTTTGTACTTTGTATTAGTAATACCTATCATAAATATTTACCCTTTAACAGTGTTAATTTTAGCTGTCAGAGAGATCAATTATTTTGCTGTCAAAATGGGTATAACTAAGAGGCCTGCTAGCAATTGCAGCGATGAAATACTCCCAGTTGAAGTCGATGAACTGTAAGTACCTACCTAATACTAGTAGAAACTATAATGTATTTTTACTATTGTTTCATTCTAGCATCTATATGCAATTAGAAACTAATATAAAAACTATATTCAATAAAATATAATTGTTAAGTTATTTTAACACTACAATACTAAGTATATTATTGTTTAATTAGACTCATTGCTACATGTTACTAGGACTACAGTGATTATTACCAGACGTAGATCCTTGGGCCAAGGGACTTAATTCTCCTCTGGAAATGTTATGTATTATGTATATATTTATATAATAAATAATTCATACCTCTTAAAAGCCATTGATTAAAAATATAAATAAATACTGTCTTTTAAAATTATTCAAAATACTTAACAAATACTTTTTTTATATTGAAAAATATATATTTGTTTTTAACAAATGTATGCTTAAAATCATTAATAAATATATTCTTTAATTAGTTCAAGAACTTCAGATATCACATACCAATTATATTAAGTTAGTCAAATTCAGCTAGGTGGGTATAAAATTTAGATATTGTGTCATCCTCATATTTTATGACATTTTAAAAATTCTTGGGAGCATTATAAAATACAATTTTTAAAATATCAAAATATGAAATTAAAATATTCAAAATATTTTTTTTTTATTTTATTCCAGAATACTAAATACTGAGCTAAATACTTTTTTTCTTTTCTCCTATGTATTTTACTATTTTAGCAATTGCTCTTAAAATAATATTTTATAATGCTTCTATGAATTTTTAAGATTTCATCAAATATGTAAATGACACAAAACCTAAAATTTATATTTACCTAGCTGAAGTTTAACCTGACAATATATTGGGTAATCAACATCTGAAATTCTTGAATGTATTTTATTAATAATGCTGGTACTCATGTAATATGCTATGTACCGTAAAAAGCTACCTACCTAACAAAAAGGTAAACGGGTGTTTACCATTTTTACATAGGTACTGATTAATAACAATTTATTAAACTAAAATTAACTTAATGTATTGCTCATGATTAGTGCTTGGATTTAATTGCCCTTTCAAAAACTGAATTTAACTTGAAAAATTGTGTAAGTACGTTAAGTAAATATAAAAAATTGAGTAAATTATTACTTTTGTATTACACTGTACTACTGTACTACACTATAATATACTCCGATAAAAGTTGTATACAATTAAATCAGCTAATTGATTGGTGTGATATCAAAATAAATTTCAGCCTTGTATAATTTAAAACCAGATTACCTGATGTTATATTGTTCAAAATGAAAATGATTAATATTATGTAGTACTATGTTTATATTTCAATGAAGTCAATTTTTTTAGTCATAATACGATAAATAGGTCATAAATGATTTAAAAAATTAAAAAAACATAAAACGTCAATAAAAAATGATGGGGTTACAACATAGAGTACTTGAAACACATTTGTAACTTGGAAAACATTGTTTAAGACATTCCAAAAAAAAATATGCATATGCATTGAACTCCGCCCTATAGTATAGTAAGTATGTACCTAATGAGTCAAAGTCTAGAGTCTAATTAAAAAATAACGTAGTTTTGTAGTGTTAAAATATCTTTAAACACTAAGTATTTAAATACATATTCTGAATACATTTTAAAAGTATTCTTAACAAGACTGAATAAACCATAATATGTATTATCAAATGATAGTATATTATAATTAATTGTGTATTGCCATTGTAGCGTGGATGATACGATTTACTCATCTACCAACACTGATGCCAGTGATGAATCAGATTATGAAATGATGATGCCAAATGTCACCATAGTTGATTATTCGACATACTACAGAAATCTCTGTCCTGAATTAAGGATTTCCTACAATGTTGAATATGATAATCCAGATGCTGATACTAAACCGGTATCATATAAGAAAAAAAATATTTCTCAAATGGGACGCAAGAAAGCAAATCGTGCACAAAATGGTACACTTATAATTTATATTTGCTCTTGAGTTTACCAATTAAAAATATTACATGTATACTGTATTGTGGATATAGGTTAAATAGTTTTAGAAAGGTAGTGATTTACTTAAAGTTGTGAAAATAATGATGTTATGCATTGTAATAATTATATGGTATAGCGCTCACATTTTGTATAACTCGTCCAGTTCATCTTGGCCATCGCTATGATTTCACAAAATCAGGTGTTTGAAAATTATATTTGAACTATATTATATTGAAAAACTAACATGATTGGAAATACCAACTAAATATGATTTAAACATTGTATATCCAATTTAAAAGACATTGATCATAACAAATGAACACTAAATGTATTGATCATTTCATTATAATATTTATTATTTACAAATAGGGCCCAGAATTTGATGCATTTGCACCTTTTTTTCTAATTCGAAGCTCGTCTTTACAGAAATTTGATTCATGGAATATTGAACTTAATGGCACAATTTTTATTTTGCATTTTTAGGGAATTTATTGCTTTACGGTCATTTTTAAAATTGTTGGTACATTTTATTCATTTTTATACTTTTTTTGACATATATTTGTATTTTTCTTGTTGAAAGTTACACTTTATTGTAACACATTCAGTTTCCATTAGCTTGTAGATTATCGACGTTCATTATCTTTATTGTTTGTTGTCAAAATCTACGATTATTTAATTAACTATAGGCAGATACTGTTTTAGGCCCGGTTAGTCAGAAAAATTTACCAAAAGTCAATCAACTCATTTTAAACTGCAAAAAAATATTTATTTAATGCTCCTTCCAGATTAAAAATGTTTTTAATATTATTTAATATTAATTTAGCTCCCTCAAAAATGTTAAAATTTAATAAAAGGTTCCTCATAAGTTGTTGTTGGTAAAAATTTAAAAAAAAAGCTGAACGTAAATAATTAACAATAATTTTTTTGAGCATCTGAAGTTAGGATTTTTACAAAGTTCATCAAAATAACATCAAATTATTTTGAGTTTGAAGTTCATACAAAATTTGTGATGTACAAACCTAACTTAAGATTTTAAAACTGAATACAAGATTCCCTGTTCGTTTTTCTTTATTTAAGAAGAGTTTACTGGAAAGTAATTATATTTTTAGTGTTTGAAGTTATACATTGGATATTCACAAATTAATAAATTGGCAAATGTAACGATTTTCTTATTTTGTTGTAATTCTAAAACTATTAATTGTAGGTACTTGAAATTTTCATTTTATTTTAGTATTATCTATACTTGATAAAATGTTCAAGATGTTTTGAGTTATTTATAGACACTTGGCATTTGATATTTGAAATTTAATGAGTTTTTTTTTTCCATAAATGTCAATAAAATTTTTTTTTTGGTCGAAATACTTGAAAATTTAAAACAGAGTTCCTCTATAAGTAGTTATAATAGCAGTTGGTAAATTTTATTTTCAAAATTTTGAAGTTCAAATTTTGACAACATCTATCAAAATCTCGAACATTTTCTATTTATTTTGTAGTTGAAAAATTACAAAATATTAAATTTTTATAGCTAATGAATAATGATTGAAAATTGAATCAAGAATCCTCATTGATAGTTCATATTATAACCTAAAAATCTAAAAAATATATAAACACAGTTCTTTATTGAAAATAGTAGCAAAATGTGATAACTAATAAGTATTTAATCATTACTTTTTACGTACCTATACAAATGTGTTAAATAGGTACATAATTTTTTTTTTTCGAGGTTTTCCTATAGTAGAACAATTATTTTTAACCCTAATTACTCATTATATGCTAAAAAAAATATAATTAAACGTTCATTAAAGTTAGTTACATTTTTAATTGTTTTAACTTTTTACAGTTTAAACTTTAAATTTGATATCCTGAACAATTAAAATTTCATTTAGATACATCATGACGTGCGCGCTATGCCATCGCAATGTAGTATCACAATTTTTTTTTTTAAATAATTATTGTTTAAAGGTACCACAATTATCCTGCGATCTATGTGTTCTTATAGTTCTTTTAGACTTTGGTTATTTAACAAAATATGATATAGGATGGAGTGATGGCTTATAGATATTACCTATTATAATATCTATGATATTGTACATTGTACATGTAAGCAAGTCGCCTGGCAACTAACAAGTGCCATCTACTACGCTTAGAGCATGACTGAAGTAGTGAAGTCAAAACTCTGAAATGTTAAAGTATTGGGGAAAATATTATGCTACATTGCTATCTATATGCTTAGTAGATGTCACTTACCAGGCGGGTGGTAGCGCATGCCACATTTCAGGGACTCATCGCTATGTGACATGTGTACATTCAAACCCTGAGTTATGGCTCCGTTCATTGTATATTATCTAAGTATGTGTTACAATGATAGTAGTTAATAATTATTATTGTGAATAGGGTTCAATGCTCATACTGACAAATGCAATTCGTACGCACATGCGCATGTCAATAACTAGATAACAATATCAAATTCACTAAAATAATTTTATGGCAACTTACTCATTATACAAAAGGAGCAGCAATGGTTTGAGGGCAAAAATAAAAATTTTAAATATCTTTAATGTATTGTAGTATTTAAGAAGAATTATTATTAATTATTGAAAAAGATGCATAAATATAATAATAATGTTATTATTGTATTATACCGCCTGCCCCCGTAATCAATGAGCGTATTCATGGAATGAACATAATATTAAAGACCGACACATTTCTATTTTTGTTCTTATTATTTTTGAGTTTAAATTATATAAAACTTGCTTACAACAATACATAATACGGATACTTATGACTTAATAGTAATTGCGGTATTTCTCGTCCCTGTATTATAATATCATATTATTACATTTGATATTAACAGTTTCAATTTATTTGTGCATTACCAAACAATAATATCCATTATACTATAGTCTCTCGTCAAGTACCAAACAGATTTAATATAATTTATATTTTTATGATGGGTACTAAGGTTTTAAAGGGTGACATATTCATAACCCAACACTGAGAGGTTATGTTAGACTAATTTTTAATTTCAAATAATTTTAGTTTTATTTTTGATTAGGTATGAGTAGGTAACTAATTTTACAGTTTTCTAAAAGTACGGTAATTTAATTCAATAAAAATTGAATAAGTAAAATAACGTTTGGAAATACTGATACTAACAATAGTATATTATTTAAAATATGAACTCAATGTATTTATTTACATACATTTTATTTTTCAGAAAATTTTCTTCTGTCTCTGAGCGATGAATACGAAGATGATATATTTTGTAATGACAACAAAAACGGATTTATGAAAGCAATCAACAGTCTTTCGACTTTGCCTGGTGTATGTATCGTATGATCTTATGCTGCTTCAATTTAAATTATGATGAAGAATAATTTAAAATTATAAAGTGTTTATCTTTAATTATTTAGCCAAGTTATAGCAGCACCTTATAAGTTAGTTTTAAATCTCATAAATATTGTGGATTTTGTTCATCGTTTATTGAAAGGACCTTTTTGTTTCCACTATCTAATCATTTAGATAGTTAATTTTTTATTTCATTAAAAATAAACATCCTTCCCCAACCTTAAGGAATATAGTCAAGTAGTTCAGTTTTTGTGGATAGAACAAAAATGTGTGATATAACTAGTCTATAATAGAAACAATCAATTTTTTCTTAAGAGGACGTTACACCGACATTTGGCATCTCCGTCTTTCAAGTGCGTAACAAAGCAAATTGTACGCTCAGTTGAAGACTTTTATCTCCATTAGTTTAAAAATTAGAGTGAATTGACCTCTTATAAAATTAGAAGGTAAGATTATTATCTAGGCCACCTCATGGGCTTTTTTATATTTTAATTTTAAAGCGAGATATGAGTATTTTAAAATAATTGTAAATTGTTTGTACATCTTAAAATACTCATAACTCGCTTTAAATTTAAAATATAATTTAAACCCATGAGATTGCCTAGATAATAATCTTACCTTTAAATTGTATAATATGTCAATACACTCATTTTAACTAACGGAGCTTAACTTGATTTGCTGAGCTTACAACTTGCCATCCACTTATAAGATGGAGACAACAAATTTTGGTGTAACGTCCTCTTAAGTTTAAACTGTTTTGATTATATAAAACAAAACAACAATACTCCTTTAATATATTATTTACATAATATTTATCCAAATTTGTTCCATATGTTTTTGATTATAATGTATATTATAAAAATAGCAGAAAAGATAATATATTATATTATTTTTCCTGCAATTTTTCTTTCATTGCAGAATATTGTTTGGAGTATTTTGATATGTAAAAATCAAATTTTTAACAATAGTAGTTCATAAGTTATTATGTTATTATAAATGTTTAAAGTTTTTATTAAATGAGTACTGTACCAACATTTGCCTGTGTACCCCTGTGTTACACCACTTAGCTTATCTATACTTTAAATGCTTATACGTTATAACTTATAACTCATAAACTTCTCTAAATACATAAAATAATATATTATATCATATACCAAATTTATATTGCTCTAATGTATTCAAGCAACTAATAAAACTTTTACTTTTCTTATACTTACAACAAATTATTACTAAAAATAATCAATCATCAATCTAAGGTCATCCAGCTGAAATATTTAGAGTTACTATCTAAATGAATACACGTGCAATTGTTTCCATTAACATACTGAATATAATTATTTATAAAACTATTTTGATGCATTATGTTATTATTAATTTGATCTTATACATTGGTTATAGTTGAAAGAATCATTTATTGAAGGAAATGACGAACTCGTGCTACCAAAACGCAACAAACGTTCAGCTGCTGAAATAAATACTGAAAAAAAGCCTAAACGAAGCATTCGTCCTGATTTGGCATTCAAAAATCTGACTACATCACAAAAATCCCTATTCAAACAGAAAAGTTTACCTTTTGTAAGTTATTACTATTTCATATTCATAATCGGCTATTGTTACACATACAATTATTACCTAAAAAAAAATATCTATCAAATCACATTTTATTACTATTTATTAGTTATGTTTTATTGAACAAACATTTTATCAAATACATATAACAATTATAATAATTTTACAAAATGCTTCTATGTATGCTGAATAACTATTACTAATATTTATAAAATAAAAATACAGAAATAGAAATCTAAAAAAGAAACACTAGCTTTTTTTAAATATCAAAATAAAAATCTAATGGATAGGATGACCTAACCTATGTCATGATCTATTATATTAGATTTGTCTTTCTGTCGTTGTTGTTTGTTTGGAAATAGAGTTAAAATGATTGGTTCCAATCATGGCTGATATATACAGGTTATTGTATATAGACTCGGATTGTTATCATCAGAAACAAAATGGCTGCGTAAAGGGTTATCACAAATATCAATATTTCTTATCATCAAAATTACACAAATGCTAACAAATTCAAAATCCCGTGCATATAATATTATTATATTTGATTATTATTGGCTCACTTAACACAGCCATTTTTGTTTTTATCAACAAATATTTGATTGAGAAGGGGTATAAATGCAATAACCTTGTATATTTCAATCATGGTTCCAACCAAATGTCTTAGGATTTTCATTGACCTTAGTCTTATATTGTTTCAACATGTTTCACACACTTTTCCCAATCATGTTGACTGTAGAATAACTGTTAGAATAACGTTTGATGTGTTAACCATTCTAAAAGTATGGTTTTTTGCAGCTTCCTCATTTTAACTCGATTAAGTTGTATTTGCAATGATATGGTGGAAGTTTAATTACTTAGTAACACATTTCGATGACCATTTATACTTTTTTTCCAAATAAATTAGTGATTCTCACATTGTCTCAGTTCAGCTAGTGTCACTAATTTTGAAAAATATATATATTTTTTTTTGACTAGTCAATCCAAAAAATCGGATTTCTTTCAATTTTCGGTTATTACTTTTAGAAAAATATTCTTTGTGTGTCGATATTTTCGAATACTTAGGTTCTTCAGAACATTTAAGGAGTGTCCTGTAGTGATCACAACATTGTTTTTTTAAATGAGAAGTGTGTACCTATATTCTAATTCAAAATGTGAATCAGATGATTTTTCTGACAATGTTGACGTATTGTAATTCAAATTTTAACGAAGAGTTTCCCATTTATTCCACTCTAAATACTAAAGATAATAGCTATTAAATATTTTGTAAATGGATACGAACTTAGTAACTATAATTGGGCCCCTGCTACCACCGTCAATTTTAGTCCAAATTACCAAATTACCAAATTACAGATAGTTTACGTAGTTATATTTTGATTCTGAAATATATTTGTATTCAGTAGAAACATTTCTATAGATTGGGGGACGGATTTTGCGAGCGGTCTAAGGCGTCGGTTGTGACGCAGCCGTCACCGGATCGATTCCCGGACGCGGGCGGCATTTTTCTTCGGGCAAGTCACGGTGTCCGGAGAACAAGTGTCGGCATGGCAGATACCTACGTGTGCCCAAATCGAAAATTCTGCCAAAAAACACACTTGTTAACAAACCTATAGTACCGCCCTACAGTACCGCAGGCTAATGACCTAAGTTGTCGAAGCCTTACCGGCTTACCCTATAAGGAAATAAAAATGTCTATAGATTGCATGGAACACTTTAAATAATTTTTATCTTATTTAATTTTGAAATGTAATTGAAAACTTGGTTTATATCAAATCAAAAACAATAAGTAACTTCCCGTAAAATTCGTATAGTTAATTTGATTGTTATCGAGTTATTTACATGTGCATACGAGAATGGTATTCACCCGATTCATTAGTAACCCCACCCACACTATTGAATAATAATCGTTTACGACACATAGATTCCGAACGGCTGACTGATTGCTTATTAGTCGCCCCTTAAATAAAGCCATAGCTAGACCTCTATTAAGTAGGTATGCAATTAAAAATATTTGTTAATTCTTACTATTTAGTCAGGTATCCTCAGACAATTTTTAATATTACAAAATGCTTATAGATTTATATTGCGCCCAATTATTTTTAAAACAAAAGTCAATAATAACCTTTTAATAGAATATTTTCTTAAGACTTAAGTACCTATTTAAAGTAGAATAACTCAGAAACTTTTCGTTCTATTTTCGATTACAATACTTCAACATTTTCAGAGAATTCATCTGATTCACAATTTTCAATTCGCATTAAACCTTCATGTAGGTTCTCATTAGAAAAACCGCTACGATACTTTGTTGGGATGATTATACATTATAAAATACTCCTTAAATGTTGGGTAAAAAAATAATTATTGGAAAATTTCGTCTTTAACTACCTACACTTAAAAATTCCAAAAGTCTTAATTTGAATATATGCATAATAAATTTAAATCAACACTGTGTACTATTTTTTTTTCTATAATACAGTAAGAATCACTTCAAGACGTTTCAGCGATCAAAACGGTAGGTACGCGAGTCTAACGTCTATATTATATGATTGTACATTAAAATACACGTTTAGAGCGAGTATGGTTTTATCTAAATATTCCGACGACGAGTAAAATAAAACGAACTATACTAACGACCGTCCGGTTATTACGATACGGTCGCTATCTTTTGCCCATTATTTAGGTCGACCTGCTCGTAAATGTACGTTTTCTCTCAGCGTCTGGAACCGGTGACCTAAGTCGGCGTCACGTGTGCTGTTCCACTATTTGAACGCTGCAGGGAAACCATAACTTCTTAATACTGCTAGTATTTAGTGTATTATCTTAATTGTATAGATATAGGTTACTTAATAATTATTAATAATAAACATGACTTCTACGAGGTCTGGTGTTTTCGAGTCTATACAAATTACCGTATTTGTGTGATAACATAATGTCGCATTGTCGCATCGTCAGACTTTACGTTGGATGAAAATATAGAAATAATCGGGCGTTTATACATAAATAAACTATAAAATCTTCAATTGTCTTAATTTCGATTATAAGTAAAATAAAATAGTCTGTATATTGAAAAAATACCGATTTTAAAACATTTCTAAAATGATTTTGTTTTTTTTTTTAATGTTGTCATTAAATCAGAATTTTTATTGATTACTATTGAAAAATTTAAAATCCACATTAAAATGTTATAATAATTAATAAATATGTAGTTTAAAACTAGATTTTGGAGACATACTGTATGTCTGTTTATAAGTTTAACTGTTTAAATCATACTAATAATTTACTAAAAATAAACATGAGATTGTTTATTGTTTTACTAATTTTTATGGTTCTGTAGGCTGCTATAGATCATCTGGAAACCGAAGTTGTCCGATATTTTTCACTTGTACCAAATGGCATTTACACATCTGCCCCATTGCCGAGTTATAATCGAATGCTGCTGCACAGTATCGTCCGTTACTATTCATTGGATGCCATGAGTAAATAACAAAAAAATCAAAGATACAAATGTCTTTATTCAATTAAATAACATGTTTAGGGCTAGAAAATATTAAATTAAATACCATTTTGTATTATATTTTATTTATTTTTAGGTGTGAATAGCCGTGGTCGGCGTGCTCAGAAAATTGTACAAGTACGCAACAGCCGTTTTGACGATTTCAAACCACCTCGTATGAGCCTGTTGAAATACGTATCAAGTCAAAACAGCTAAACAACAAATTACCATCATTAATGGATCCAATGACTATTGGACAAACAACAAACATACATTTTTTATTTAGATTAATATAATCTGCTAGACGAGTTTTAATTTTTTTTTTTTTTTTTTGCATACTTGTCACGTTTGTTTTATTTATTACGTTTTAATTTTTAGCTTTAGAGATATTTGGGCCGAAGACATATATTTTATTAATTTAATTAATGACCAAACTATTATATTATAAACACTATTTATATCAAATAACTTAACATATATCTTAATATATTATATTATATTATACGCTTATATTATATTGAATTTATTAATATAATATTTATAATGATACTTATTAATGGGTTTGGAATAAATTAATTTGCATATTTCTTAGAAAGCTACTTATAGGTAATTCAGAAAACAATTGTACTAAAATTAGTTTCATTAAAAAATAAAAACGTTTTATATTAATAATAATAAAAAGAATGCATATTACTAAAAGTTAATGGTAATGAACTACACTTTTATAAAAAAAAAAAAAAGCTTATTAAAAATACAAATTACAGAATCATTTTTAGAATGATTTATCATTGAATTCATATCTAACATACATTACAAGGATAAACTATAGAACTTTGGAGTTATTGAATTTACATATTTTTAATTTAATTTATTTTTAAATAATCTCCAAACCCTTTTGATGCAAATATGAACTTGTTATAGACTTTTTAAAACAGTTTTGCAATTTTTGTAATTTTTTTGCTATATTGTAATTTTTATTCTTTCCAACATTACATGTCAATTTTAGTGATATTTTTGAATTTGTGGTGAGTGTCCTTTTATGGAAATATTAGTTGAATAAATAAAAAATAAAATTAATAACTCTGAACATGTTAATTCTATATAGTATATTTATTATATATGTGTGTTATTAATAAGAAATACACCAAGACTGAAAGAAATATGAAAAAAATTATTTACTTCTTCCCGAGTTATAGCCCATGCTATGGTTGGTATCCAATCTGGAATTTTATCATCATTGTATATGGCTGGTTTACCTTAAAATAAATAATTTGAATAAAACAAAATAATAATTTATATTATTCTTGATAGATACTTGTTCAATATGCTTCTAACCTTATATTTTGTAATTTAGTAATATTATAAAAGTATTTAACTTATATAGCAGCTATATCTATAGTGCTTATAGTGATTATTAATGTATTCTTATGTTTGTCCACATAATTACAATGTTCCTAATATATTAGTATATTAGATTAAATAGGTCTTAAGTCTCTACTAAATAAGTCAGTTGTACAAGTATGATTATTATTGTAGTATGTAGGTGGATAGGTAGCATATTAGTCAAAGACAAGTACCAAATCAGTCACTAAGTATAACTTATGTTTATTAATTCCATTAAAATATTTACCAGTTTTAAAATGAACTCAACAAATTCTCATATTCTTAAGCTGAATTTCATGAACATTAGTTCTGTGAAATGCATTAAGCCACTCTGTTCGCTGTTTTAACATTTATGTTTTTAAATCTGATACAGCATTCACTTTAACCTTTGGAAACTGATAAAATGACAACGATTTGTCCAAGGTTTTGTTTCCACAACCAAAAACGGCTCAAATAGTCGGCATTTTGTGTTATAGGTTAAATAATAATGGCGAATTAACAAATAACAAATTTAATCAAACCTGAAAACACAGTAAAGTGCAGCACCTTCAATTAATATTCATCGTTTGTCGGAACAATAATTGGTGATAACACATGATTGATAAGATAACGCAACTGCTTGTATACTGTCCTAAGTATACGCATAGGCAGAAATCCATTAACATTTCAGGGGGGCTAATATTATTAACATAAATGTGAGTGGGGGGGCTTTGATCGCATACAGCTAATAAAGTAGGGGGCTTGATGGACTTTTGTAGGGGCTAAGCCCCCCCCTTCCCACTTTTGCTAAGGGCACCTATACTACCCTAATAATATCTTTAATACATTTTATTCATATACCTATAATCTAATGGATAGCGCATTCCACTCCGCCCTGTCATCAATGCACGGGAATCATCTAAGAGAAAGAAGGAAAGAACGAAGAGAGAAAAGAGAGAAAGAACATAAAGTGGGGTAGACTATGAAACTATAATACTGTATTCCACCCAAGTTCTCTTTTCTCTTTTACCTACTCTATAAATCGTACCCCTGACATCTCTCTCTAAGCGCTGTCCATTAATTTATAGGCCTACGATTTTATAAATACCGACTTAAACACGTCTAAAACAATGTAGCTCGCACTAAGCGCGTGGTTGCCGTCGACTTGTTCAGTGCTGGACGTAAGTTGTTGTACCTTGTACCTGTGTTGCAAAAATATCGAACCGCAGTGTTGCAATGTTTTATAGCTTGCAAAAGTACCAACTGTTGGTATCCAGAACCATTGTTCTGGGCTAGAACTACGGTCTATGAGTAACTACAGACTACCACCAGTACCACAGTATGAACTCATCGTTTCTGTCGGATAGTCGCCGCCGCCGCTTTCTGTCGTTTTCTATCGCTCTGTATGACGTAACTAGGTATCGTTTTCGTTGACATATTGTTCCGGAATCGCGTGCGTAAGGGCTGACCGCACCATCGCAACTTCTGAAAAATTGTAAGTATTGCAATAAATATTTTTACACCCCAACGGAATGATTTTTTTTCAAAATCGACTCTCACCCTTTTACCCGCCTTTTTCAATTTTGACCTATTTTTATTTTTAATATTGCCGTTATTGTCGATGTGCACCCACACGAACATTATATCACTGTGATGTGTGAGGGGGGTGTATACTGAACTCGATTTATTTTCTTCACTTTTAAATACCTAAATTTACTATTGAAATATTTAGTAGGCAATAAATAATAAATTATAATAAATGTATACTGTGAATTATATTTTATATTTTTATTTCGCCCAAGCATAATAATACCTATATTATTGATTATTATAATATAATACTATTATATTTGATATGACGTTGTCCCACGATACCTGAATTGCGTGTTTTTAATTATTATTGTAATTGAACACAATTCAATATCCTACGGATAACACGTTTCTAGGTCAAATACTATTTCTAGGTTACATGAATTATCTTTCTATTTTTTTTTTTCAATATTTTAGTTTGATCATTATTACTACACCTTTCAAGTATAGTGATGAGATTATCTGTTTTAATTAAAAAATTTCGTTCAAATTGCAATAATTGAAATATGCAATAATAATGTTCAAAAATGATGCAAAAACATGTAAAATAAAAAATTGATCTAGGTAGTATGTTATTTATCTGATTTAATTAAATTGTAAAAAAATTATATTTCTAGTTTGATTGTTGTAACCATATTTTTTGAAAAAAAAAACGTCCTTATATTTAACTCTGATTTTACTGGATCTGCAATGGACGACGAAAATTAATAGATACCTACGTGGCAGTACATAAATTATAAATTGTACATCAATATATATTATATATTTTAACAATTAATACTAACATTTTATTGTTGTAACTAAATGTCATTAGTCTATAATTGGTATAATTGTTAACATTTTATTGTATACATAACTATATAAAACGTAATATGTTCTGTAACATAATTATATAATACATATTACCTACACATATATCATAATTCAGAACAATTCTAGTTTAACGCCCACTCGAATTTTTTGATATTATCCCCCAAAAATCATAAAAATGATTTATTAAAAAGAGTAATTAAAAAATTGCCATATTTCAATTTTTGGAGAAGTTTTAATCAAAATATCAAAAATGTGGGAAAATCGATCTCAAGTAGACTTGACGACAAATTCAAATCTGTTTTCAGAATTCTTATCGCTTCACTAGATTAATCGGTACGTTGGAAATAGAACACGTCTATAATCCTATGTTGCACGTGAGTTAGACAAAGACAGAAAATCGCCGCTTCCAATCCCCTTAAAATTATTTGTATAACACCGCAACTAGTGGAGTATTTACGGAGGGGAGGGGGATCGAGGGGATCAATCCCCCCATAGGCTGTAATATACGTATATATAATTGTATATAATATGCAAAATTTTTCGGAGTCCTAACTTAAGGCCTCTAGCTTTAAAATCGGGGCTACTGTATAAAATCATATTATAGGCCACCGTGACAAAAACCTAAATACGCCACTGAGTCACCAACTTGATCCAATTTGTGTACAACTAACTCCTACTATAAATTATATAAAAAAGTGATTATGTTTGATATGTATTTTTATAATGTTAAAATACCGTATTACTTATACTAGTATTAATCCGTATTCAACCTTGCAGCACCTTAAACCAGCCCCCCTCCCACTTACGGTGATGACTTTAGAATTTTATCAAGATTAATAAAAATATTAAAATACACATTGTATATTTTGTATAATTAGCCCCCCTCCCCCCATATGAAATTCCTGGCTACGCCACTGAAATAAACTATCGGACATTGAACACGGGTCATAAAATGAATGAACAATATTTTAAAATGGATTCATAATTTCAGAAAACATTTTAAAAGACTCAATATACAATAATTATTTTAGAGTAAATTAATGTTTAAATTCATGCTACATAATATACTTAGAGACTAGAATTAATTTGAATTTAAAATTATGCACCTATTAACCTACAATATTATTAAATTGTAAATTATAATTTATATTTTTAAATATAAAATTAATTTTCTAATAATATAAACTAATATTTTTTTTTTAATACGACTTGTATAGAATAATTTTATTCTATATGTATAATAAAAACTTACAACTCTAATTATTTTGTTAAGAGTAGGTACGCTACTAATGTATTTGTTGTCTACGTCTTCTATATAGGTACGACATAGGTATCATATTTTCGTTCCCTAGTTTCAATAGTCTTCTGTTATTTTTGATATTAGAAGGATATGAGCATTTTTAATTTTTGATATTCACATAATCACATACCCATATATACCTTGAAAATTA